TTTTCCGTTTGGCTATACCTGCGCTCGTAGTCTGTCAAAGCTCGATTACCATAGGCAATAATTCTAGGGCCATTTGTATCATTTTGTACAAGGACAGCACCAAGTCCGACAGGGCTAGCATCTGCTATCACCTGTCTTGCATCTCTGACGTCATAATACCCTAAAATCTGTATTTCCGTGAGCATCCGTTTGAGTTTTTGGAATGCTTTATCTTGTTCTCCAGACCATTGTTTTTCCAAGCTCTCCCTTTTGCTCATCTTCTGTCTTAACAGGTGCTTCAGAAGTTCTGTCATGGCGGCCAAGTTAGGTATCCATTTGTTTATGTAGTATGGTCTTTGGGACCCTAAAGTTCATAATGCTCTCAACGTACTTGTTGAAGGGTTTACTCCTTCATGTGTAAGCCTGTGTCCCAGAAAATTCACATCCTGCGTTTTATATATGCATTTATTGCTATTCAGCACGGCGTTGTTTTTACTAAGTACCTGTAGAACTTTCTTTAGTCGTGCGTCATGTTCTTCTTCACTGTTCCCGAATACCAGGATATCATCAATAAAATTGACGACCCCTTCACAGTTTATCAGCATCCTTTCAATGATCTTCTGAAAAATCTCGGAAGCGCAGGTAATTCCAAGCATTATTCTTTTATATCTATATAATCTTTTGGGGGTTATAAAAGTCGTTATGTGTCTGGATTCAGAGTGAATTTCCACTTGATGGAAGGCATTTTTTTATGTCTTAATTTGTTAAAATATTTAGCTTTCTTCATTTTAGGCAAAAATGGTCCATAGTAGGCAGGGGGTGGTTTTCTTGCAATATAACGGCGTTCGTACATCTCATATCTACGCACAAACGTAATTCACCATTTTCTTTCATGATTGGAACATTGGTGAAACCCATTTAGACGGGCCTTGCACTTCTTCAATTATATCACTGTTTAGTGATTCCTTAATTTTGATTGCAACCTTCTCTTTAAAGGGGATCGGCTTGCTTTTACTCTCCACTTGATTTATCCCGATACCAAGTTTTAAGACACCCAGTCGGACTGCTGTGTTCTTACCAAACAGGTTTCTAGTACCCCCCGAAATCACGTAAATGGTTGTATGTTCCTTTCGTCCATCGACTTCGAGTATAGTTTCAAATGAACCCTCTATTGCCAAAGGAGAGTTACTACCATATGCTAATAATGTCTTGTCTGGTCTTTACATTTGATTAAAAGCATATACTTTTTTGCTTTTTAACTCTTCCCACGTTTAGTAATATATAAGGTTCTTGCGCAATTTCGAATTACACTTTTCCACTATTTGATCTATGAAATGATCATCTTGCTTTTCGAATGCACACTTTTCGGCTTGTTGACGCAATCTTATCAAAAACTTCTCAAATGTCTCTCCTTTTTTCTGTTTTAGCAATCGAAAAACATGCCGCTCATAAACCTTGCTCCGTTTAGGTTGAAAATACTCGTAGAATTTTTTTTTATGGCTACTTAAAATACATCAACGGTTTCTTTTATCCCAGAGCCACCAAAATGCCATAGCGTAGCTCGTTTCTCGAGTGCTGATATAACTTCAGCTACGTCCAGATAGATTAGTAGAGACCTTTTCCATTTTCCACACCTTATAGCCATAGATGTGCTATCACATTAAAGCTGATAACGGTATCATTATTATTATTATTTTAGGGGCAAACTGAAACAGTTACTTATATTTTTTTTCCAATTTAATGCTGGTATTTTAATACCCAAAGTCCAATTTAATGGTGGTACCTACCTTAGTACCCAAGCTCCAATTTAATGGTGGTACCTACCTTAGTACCCAAGTTCCAATTTAATGGTGGTACCTACCTTAGTACCCAAGCTCCAATTTAATGGTGGTATCTTAGTACCCAACTCAATTTAATGATGGTATCTTAGTACCCAACTCAATTTAATGATGGTATCTTAGTACCCAACTCAATTTAATGATGGTACCTTAGTACCCAACTCAATTTAATGATGGTATCTTAGTACCCAACTCAATTTAATGATGGTATCTTAGTACCCAACTCAATTTAATGATGGTATCTTAGTACCCAACTCAATTTAATGATTGGTATCTTGGTACCCAAACTCAGTTTCATGATAATAATATGTTCCATAACACTCGCCCTTCTCTTTCGGTTTATTTGTTATACTGACTACTTCCATCGCTGTGCCATTTAGGCTTTGGGTAAATTCAATACCTATATTGCGCATTTACCATTATTGATAACTTAGACAGCAATACCCTCGAGAAACGCCGTGATATAAGAGATCAAATGTTGTTGTACAAATTGCTTCATAATATCATCGACTCTCCCCTACTTTTAGGCAAGGTGAATCTTGCGTGTCACAGGTTAGGTGCACGAAATAAACCACTTTTTGCATTACCTAAAGTTAAAACAAAAAAATGCCTCAAATAATTTTGTATCTCGTACATGCAAAAAGTTTAACTTAAAATATTGTAAATATTAGATATTTTTCACCTTGAATATGATAGTTACAAAGAAAATATTGTAAAACTTAATATATAATTGGTAGTATCACTTTGAGTTGTATATATAATGTTACTTTTAACTACTTACTACTTAATGTTTTAATTTATGAATACCATTTAGTTTGTTTTATTCTTTTATATTTTTAATTTTATACAACATAATATTGTGGTTTGCTTTTAATATGTATTAGATATCTGTGGAAACTTCATTGGTTTTTAGGATTACTTTTATATGTTTTATTATGTAATTTATTATTGCACTGTATGTTTCCCTGAAAAAGCAAATAAATAAATAAACAGTATTACTAGTTACCTACTTTGCAATGTACAGAAGTCGTGAAGTGTCCACGATTTTTTGTAAGACTTATATATGCCATGAAAGCAGTAAAATAGTATTTTCATTAAAGGCGATAAATATCACACCTACATGTTAAATGCCACTAAAATTTAGCTAACGACATTGTATTTCGGTTCGAATCGAGAGGAGTTTTTAGTAACATCTACTATTTTTCCATCAAAAATCTTTTTATATAAAAGTTGTGCTAATAGACATATGTTAAAATAAATCATTATTTTATCATTGCTACATAAAGAAAATAAATTTTAGCACACCATAAGCGTGGTCAAATGCGAACATATATTTTATATAAATTATTAAAATGATCAGAACAGGGTTAAAAACAATAAATCATAATTCATAATCCACAGTTTTTTTCCGCGGGTACTCTAGGAATTAATTTACAATTGCAATACTAATAGTTGCACATTGCTAACCTATTTTTGATTATATCTTTATACTAAATAGGTACTTATCTTTTTCCTCGTCGCCACTTGTAATGTCTGCTATCTTCTCTAACCACTGTAGTGTAACACAGGCTCGGCACGCACTTTAACTAAACAACACGTCTACTCTCGCCCGAAGCTCTCGTGTAACTGACGCGGTGCGCTCGAGACAGTGACTTATATATAAATGTATGTTTGTGTATTTGTGCATGGTAAATTATTAGTAAATAAAACAAATAACAATATTTACTGTATACTACATATAAGCAAACACTACACTATCCTATAAAAAAAAAAGAATATTAGTCTGACATTTAAATATAAAAATTAAACTGATAAAAATGAGGCCTTATCATTTATATGCCATTTATTCAGAAGAAAAACGTGTACATAATATACTTTAATATATTGATACATTCGCTATTCATAAATTATTCATTTTAGTATAAGTAAATATATATATATAATAAGTTTAAGTAGTAAGTATTTCTGGTCTACATTCATAACTATTAACTTAACTACTAAGCCATAGCATAAAATATTTTTTCCCGTTTATCGGGTAATAGTTAAGCTGCTGGCATATACAATTTTTCACGCACACTAGCATCCTTGCAATTGTCTTATACACACTAGAATATTGAGTTGCCGCATTCACGGAGCTGTTTCTTTCAGGTACTGCGGTATGCAGTCAGAGCGCGCGATGACCTATCATTAATCTATGAGCTTAATGATTTTTTATATTTACGCGAACACTACACATTGAATAAAACTACTTTTACGGATTTTATCGCGTTTAATAAACTTATTTTTATTATTTTTATTAATTCCCGACGTTTCGGGTGTTTTCCAGCACCCATGATCATGGGGGACTGAGGTGATTGACGTCCCGATGTCAGAGTTAACCCGGAGTACCTTCAGCTCTTTTAATTATTAATTTTGGTCCAATCTACGCAGAATGAACTTCTAGAACGAACTACTTCACTGTAAGACTTCAAGATACAATAAGTTCATTCTGCGTAGATCGGTCCAAAATTAATAATTAAAAAAGCTGAAGGTACTCCGGGTTAACTCTGACATCGGGAAGTCTACCCAAAACTTCGGGAATTAATAAAAATAAGAAACATAAGTTTATTAAACGCGATAAAATCCGTAAAAGTAATTTTATTCAATGTATTATAGCTTACCAACGTACTTAACAACTTATATTGAAATTTGGACTTTAAAATATCGGCAAGTTAAATTTGCATACGTTTTCGTGATATATAATAATGAAATCATCACTATGATCATAGCTATCACGTTCTGAGGAGCTAAGCAAAGGAGCAGAGCGACCCTCACAACCTTACGAGCCCGCTGCTAAAAATAAGCCTCCTCTAAAAGAATGCCACAAAACAAGGTCCTGAGCGACCTGCATTCATCGAGCTCCTGCATGTTTCTTCACTTCACTTCCTTACCAGGTAGTCACTCCATCTTATGATGGATTACAGTCGACGTACCGATACGAGTGCAATAGTGTGACCCAACGGATAGGTCTTTAGATCAACATGTGCAAGACAAAGAGCATGTATAACATCCTATGTCGGTAGTTGTTGGGAACACTATGCACGAAGTTTTTAACATGGTATGTTTAATATAAAGGTTAAAATCGTGTTATTCTATTTCAGATAAGCTTCGTCCCATCAAGTTAAATATAAAAATTATAAAACTATGGCAACATTGGTCACAATGAACAGTACTACATCGCCCAAATCCTCGCTCGCTAAACTGGTGCTGTACCCAAAGCAGAAGCCTTTTAAAATAATGGTACTGGGACAATCCGGAGTTGGAAAATCTGGTAAGTGAAATACTAATACTATGACAAATAATAGGTCGGAAAACATTAAATTTAATTAAATTTGAGCAGAGAGATATGCTCGAAGTTTCTCTGCATGTTAGATTAGATCGTGATCAAAATATCCGCAGTATTTAATCGCCATTACTGCCTATAAAAATCCACTGCTCAATATAGACCTTCTCACGTTTGGTGGGCGGGTTGGCCTTTTTTTTGGCAAATTTGCAAACGGGATAGGGTCGCGACGGCGCGTTGCAAGACCATATCTGCAACCAAAACCTCGGCCACCCTAGGCACCGCACCACGGGACGATATGGGGTAGTGGATACGTACAATGGGGGCTAGCGATAGCTGTGTACACCGCTACTACGCGGTTTCTGTGATAACTACTGACGAAGCTGAAGTGATAATGGGTTGGCCAATTAGCTCAAAGAACCACTAACCAATGGAAGGTTTTTAAGTGGCAGCATCGTAATGGTAAGTATAGCGGCCCCCCTACTAGATTGAGTAACGTCCTGGTAAGTTAAGCAGGAAGTCGATGGATGCATGTGGCCCAGGACCGTGTTACGCCGCGACAACACAAACAAATACTATGTGTAATTAGTCAGCCACACTGCCCCTGGAGCGTATTGGCTATGAGTTCAAATGTCTTCGAATTATTTTTGCTCCCCGAAGAGATATATGGGTTTCCTCACGATGTTATCCTATTATTAACGATTTCATTGGTGCCGGCGGGTAATGAATTGAGGGGCTCACATACTGTGCAATTACGGCGAGCGCTTAGCCCCTTTAAGTACAAGTAAAGTAGCCAACGCACAATCCACCTTATAGTAAACTAATGACGTGGCCCTGCTAATAACCAGTCACCATAAGATAAAGTAGCATTATGCTGCTGTCCTGGTGTCCTGTGAGAAGGAGGTCTTTCCCCGTGGAATCCGACGCATTTATACTGCGTAAAAGATGAGTAGCTATATGAAATAGCTCTAACACTTAGATAAGCTACTTTCCGTTCGGTTCGGTATTTTTTAGTATTGTCAGTATGTAGTACCCAGTGGTACAGAGCAAATAATAGTACCTACTACTTAAGTGGCGACATTGAAGATTTTGTCTATGTTATTCAATTCATTTAAATAAAATGTGTTACGTTCTGATAATTGATTTGTAACTTGGCACATATTAAAATAAAATTTTAGGCTTATTTTAGATATCATTAGTGCGTTATAATTTATTGACTATTAAAACTTGCAAAGTTATACATTCAATATCAAAGAACTTATTTTTTTATTTTAAATCAGTCGAAGAACGTTGTACATTCCTGTAGCTATGAATTAGGAACTTTCGAACTTGGCACTCGCTCAGATCTTAACTATTTATCGATGAAACCGACTACTGTAGTGTTATGTTACTTACATATCATTTTGCACTATTTTAAATTCATTTTTCCATTCTGTTTTGATTTTCTGCATTCACCTCAAAACTGGATATTTTGTATCATCTTTATTTCCATAGGATCCTGTAACGTTTTTAAACCATAAGAACACAATAACAAATCATTTTCACTTCGTATTTTCACGATGTCAGAATTTTTTTTAAATCGGTGTCGATGGAGTCTACCTTTTTTTTTTTTCTTTCGATCTTTTATTTAGTTCTCCGTAACTCTGCAATTTCGGGCTTTGTGCGCGCTATTGCGCTACCTTTTTTCCTATAGCAAAAAAAGAAAAAAGGGTAGACTCCATCGACACCGATTTAAAAAATGCTGATAGCGTGAAAATACGAAGTGAAAATGATTTGTTATTGTGTTCTTATGGTTTAAAAACGTTACAGGATCCTATGGAAATAAAGGTGATACAAAATATCCAGTTTTGAGGTGAATGCACAAAATCAAAACAGAATGGAAAAATGAATTTAAAATAGTGTAAAATGATATGTAAGTAACATAACACTACACTACCCCGATCGTCGTTTGTTGGGTACATACACTTCGCACCTTTATCATATTTATATTTTGGTGGGGTCTCATTATTTTTGAAAAGTTTTATACTTTTATGATTTTAAAATAAGTACATGGCTTTCAACGTTTTTCTCAATAAACACAAACTAGACATTCGAATCGAATACTTTACGAACGAAACCTTCCCGCTTCCGAGAGAAATCTTTCCAAGGCATTGTGAATAACCAGGTAGTTTCTCAACTCCTTAGAGTGAGTAATTCAAGGCAATTGAGGCATTGTATACGATAAAACAATCTCCCAGAAAATATACGTGGTCTCTATATTACTAAGTTTAAATGATTTTTTTAAATAAAAACTGTACAAAAAGGTTATTATAATATAATACCCATGGGAATGATGTGGTCGCTTTCAAGCCGTTTCATAAATAAGTTTTGTAAGTAGTTTGTACAACCTGTGTTTTTATTATATGGACAGAGTTTTTTTTCGAACAAGTGGTAAAGGTAAAAAAAATACTCTCAATAACTTGTAATCTATATTGAATTAAAAAAAAATCTATTCCATATTTTATTTATTCAATTCTTCACAGTACATAAGGTTTTTATAGCTTAAAGGAATAACAGTCATCTTCGTATTGGGATACAAATACATTCTCATTTTGGTTAAATATTTGGAAAGTTGCAATATTGAATAATAATAGAGACATTCTCCTTGGGCTAATTGGATCTCTCCAACACTTTTAAGCATAGCTGCCTAAAACTTAAAAATGACCGAATCGCCGTAGCTGTTGGGGTGAGCATGGGTGACTGTCATTTGCTACGCAAGGGCGAAGGGGCTGCACTCCCCGCAGCGTCGAAGCCATTGCAGAAGTAACTATGTCAATAATCCTGTGTAAAAAGTGATTATGTTTATACAAAAAAATATTACTCATAAACTGTACATTTCCGCAAGCGGGGAAGAATAAGGGGGGGGGGCTTCCTCAGAACCCTATCCCTCCTTCCACCCCTCTCCTACCCGCTTCAATCCCTGTACGCAAATACCGGATGTCTATAGTTTTACCATTTTCAGAAGAAGACCTGAATTTAGCATCTGCTTTGTTTGTGTTGATACGTTTTGCTAGTATTTTTTTGCAAAATTTAAACAGTTCGTTGCGGTGAAAATTTTAGGGCAACTAATTTTTAAACTTGGCACCTAATTAGCACCTAAAAACCCCTTATTTTGGGTTTTTCTAAATGCAAATTCCTGACATTGCATTGGTGGCGAGACACAGCTGTCAGTCACTCAGGACATGCTCTTTTCAACCGACTTCAAAATGGAGGAGGTACGTAATTCGACTGTATTTTTTTTATGTCTGTTACCTCATAACTTTTTTCTTGGTAAACCGATTTCGATAATTTTTTTTTTGAAAGCTGGTGTTTCTCATGTGGTGCCATATAATCCCATATGATCAGGGTCTGACCAATAGTTTTTGAGTTATCGAGAGACTCCTTCCGTGATCCCCACCCACGTTGTATGTATATCACTTATGCACTATATTTGCATACATAATTATAAACAACACAAAGTGTAGTTTATAATTAAAGAAATCACATTTTATTGCTTACTAGCGATCCGCCCCAGCAATTCGCACATGTGATTTCCGAATCTCGACAACAGTGCCACCTACCCAGTCCAATTGTAAATCTAAAACATCCAGAGACCCTATGAAACATACACAAAAATTTCATCGAAATCGGTCGAGCCATCTTCGAGTTTTTGCGAGGTTAACGCACGGCAATTGCTATTTATATATATGTACATAGACATACATAGAAGTAGATAGATTTCTAATAATCATTTAATTAATATAAAAATAAAATTCTCCGTTATAACTGTAAACACTAAAACTATGGATTTTAGAATTACTGATCTGATTTACACAGGGAAATAGACATAAAACCATTTTTACAACTACCTATTATTTATTCTGTGCTACTACTAAAATTAGCCAATCTAATATCGATTCCTAAAAATCAAACATGTGAATAACTATCACGAGTTGTTAAGATTGTCGGTCTACACAAAGAGAATATAATCACTACGTTTAGGTCTACATTTAAATTGAACTGCCTTTTACCGAGCTCAGCCAGTTATTTGCATTCCACTGTTACCACCATTTATAAAAATTTTGTCTGTCTGTCTGTCTGTCTGTCCGGGTTTAACATCAGAATGGTTGAACTGATTGTAATACAACTTCACAAACAGATAGAGAGCAATGCCATAAGTGATCTAGGTTATATTTTATCTAGAAAATTATGAGATTTTTTTAAATAAATGATCTTTGATTATCTTAAATCTAAATCTAAAATTATTATGTATCGAACGCGGACAACACACGGGTGTTGTTATCCGTTCCGGTCGGGCCCACTGAAAACCAGCGCTGTTGTTTCGGCGATAGCATAAGCTGAGTGAGTCCGTTTGCCTAACGCGCCACACATACAACATGAGGAATGTTTATATTTTTTTATTTTTCTTTTTACTATAATCTATAAGTATACATTTTAAATTGTTATAACCGTCAAATTGTTGTTTTCTTTATTATTATTATTAATATTTATTTTATTTTGTTATACAATTTTTATTTGATGTGTCTACAAATGTTAAAATTTAAGTACTTAATTATGTTTTGGCGTGTTGCAATAAATGTTTCTTTCTTTCTAACGCCACATTAATAGATGTATGGTCTACGAGTAGGCAAAGCTATGCGGGTCGTTAGTATAATATAAACCGTGTCGATAACGTTTATGAATTATTCATAATTCCTTTGTTCTATTTGGTGGGAGCTGACACCAATAATTTTTAATTGATTTATTGGATACGCTGATGATTTGTTTGTTTTCACAAACAGATAGATAGCAATGCCAGAAGTGATCTAGGGTATACTTTATCTGAAAAATTTGAACTTTTTTTTTTAAATAAATAAATTTTGATTATCTTAAATCTACATAACGCCTGATTAATAGATGTAGGATGCAGGCGAAGCCAAGGCGGGTGACTAGTACAATTTAAACCAGGTCAATTACGTTTATAAATTTTTCATAACTGCTCTGTTCTATTTGGTAGGAGCTAAGAACAATAATTATTATTTGATTTATTGGATACGCTGATGACTTGTTTGTTTTCATTCCGTGATTGTTTATAGTGCTTCCTTTTTGGTTGTAAGGATTCAGAGCAAGCTTTTTGTTCTACTTATCACAATTAATTTGGACTTTGAGTACAGTTCTATTATAAGCAGTATTATTTTGTTATCCAAACAAACCGTACGCAATTAAGATATGAATGATCTTATTATTTTTGAATAATAGTGAAAACAACATTGCAAAATGTTTGTACAACAACTCAAGCTATTTATCTTCGGGTCGTTTGTATACGAGTATGTACCTCTTATCTTAAGGACTACATTTTCTCTTCTTCTTGTAACTTTTTAGTATTCTGTATCATACTTAGCACAATGAAACACTTAATCACTTTGGTGCCTGTTTTAAGAACAATAATTGTACATATGTAAATTACTTTTGTTTTATGTGGTTCTACTTGCAATATAATAATATATGTAGTATGTATGTCTCGTGTTATTGACAAGTTTAAATTAAATAATATTCAGCTATAGAAAAAGATTTAAAAAATGGCCTATATTCAGCAGGGTTGTGACGAGCTGTAATGCTGATGATGATGATGTTAATAACAGTTTCTGAAAACGGGGCTTTAATTCTCGATTCTCTATGACTCGATATATTATTTAACTCTTCTTTGTAGTTTCTAATTTAATTTATATGTTTAATTTATATGTTAAGTGTGTAATCACTTGAATTCAGCAACAGCTAGTTTTCACATGGTTTTGGTCTTTGACTGGTATCTTTTAAAAGAAAAAGGCAAGCTCACTTTCATTCCAAAATGCCGTTCCCTAAATTCTGCTGTTTGGAGCCATGGCTGCTGTTATTCTATTACTATACATTCTAAAAAATAAAATGACAACAAAAATATTACTTTCGTTACGACTGTTCCAACATTTTTATTTCTGTCTTATTTATTTATATATTCATTAAAAACGAACTTATTATATTACAAATATAATTCAAAATAAGTGAGAGTAGTAAGTAAGAAGGCATTTCTACAAACCAATAAAAAATTGTTACAGCGTTAGTAGTACGATTCATTACGCGGCGTTTCATTGGCGAATATGATCCTAATTTAGAAAAGATCTACGCTTTTCAAACTGTGATCGACAACGAGATGGTATATTTTGAAATACTCGACTCTGCTGGAGATCCCCATGTAAGTTTCCCAATTTACGGTTTTATTGTATTTTATTTCCTATCTGTGTGTGTTGTGACTGTTTTCAGTCGGTAGTCTGAATGTGTTACAGGAAAACGAATATGCAAACTTAGAAAGCAACATCCGCTGGGCGGAGGCGTTTATCTTGATGTACTCGGTCACGGATAAATGCTCCTTCGACGAGTGCCATCGTCTCAAATTCCTCATCAATTATAATAAGAGACGTCGTAGGCTGTCGTCTACTACAAAGGTATGATTTAAATAAATTAAATTGTTATGCTATAAATTCACGATTGTGTATCAAAATAAACTTCGGAAACGGATAGATATAACAAGAGTAAATAATAATTCTTTATAGTAAAAAATGTCGAGTAAGTAGGTTTAATATTATCAAACATTCCTATGATACTTCTATTATTCTTTTTTCCCTACTTTATAAAAATATATTTTTATCAATTTCCACAAAAATGTACTAAAACGAAAAAAATAAACTAAATATCAAAAAGATAAGAGTACCTACGTAGAAATGCAATATAAAAAAATATTCAGTGGAATTTGTATAGGGCTATTAACCTGTGTGTAAAATGCGAACATTGGTTGCATTGTGATGGTTCAGAATTATTTCGATCGACCCTTACGAATGTGTGTGTGTGCGCAGTAATATCAGTTAAAATAATGCATTACCACGCATTTTGAATTTAAAAGATAAAAAGGACAAAATGTTTGAGATTTTTTTAAATTAATTTTTTTTTACCATTTGCAAAAAAATATAAATCACGGCTATTGTAGAAAAAGGGGGGTTATGGGCCACACATGGGTACCCCTCGAGTATTTCGTATTATCTTTTTTCCTTTTTGTAAATGTATTGTTTTGTAAAAGTAGGTAAGTTGCAGCAATGAATAAATATGTTATTTTTTTCTTTCTAAACACACACTTTTTCAAATTACTTCAATAATAGAGCCGTAGTAACTTCATAATATTCATATAAACGAAAAATTCATTTTACCACGTTTTCATTAAGTCACTTTCTTGTTTGTCTGTCGTTCCGGGTGGAATTTAGTAATGAACTTCCCGATGAGCTGAAAACTTGAAATATTGAACATAGCTCAAATTCGGATGACAATGCAAAAATATGATAAAAAAAACGTGGTATTTTAAGTAAATAAAAAAAAAAACAATTAAAATATTTCACTTGCTTACTATCGCGGTTTATATTCCGTGTACTAAACGGCAGCGAAGCCTCCATAGAAACCAAGAAGCCGTGCTTACCCTATCAAACTGCTCAATCAATAATATCAACTAATAAAATAACTCTTAAACTGTTTCAAACAATTTCAAATTTCCCGCGCGCTTCTCTTTTCTACACAGTTTATGACCTCGTAACCTTATTATGTAACGTCAACACTTGGCAGATTACTTTCAATTCGAAACACACTGATTCGTGTTCTCCCTTTCTCAAAGCGAACACGCAATGGACTGTTAAAATTAATCGTCGCGGCAAAACTGCGTGTTATTACTGTCATAAAAAAGGAGTTGAGTTGTGCGATTAGTCGTCTCTCTCGCACGCGTAGGCTTTTTACCGGTCTTTCGAGAAGACGATCGCTCCCTTTCTAACCTGTGCCAAATTGTTCTATAATGAAATATAACTACGATTGTTTATATAGGTGAGAAGTTAGCCGAGCGCGGGGGCACGTGGGCGATACGTTTGCAAGTTCACTTCACATTTCAATGTTTACTCTGTGTGTTTACTTGAGCGGATGTATAATGCGAGTTAAAAATTTGTGCTTTTTTAAAGATGTGTTAAATTGCTAATGTTAAATTTAAACTAAATATAAATCTTAAATTTAAATAAAAATTTAAAGTTCTTTAAATCTCCACAAGTTCCTCCGCGGAACGTGCTTTCTTATCTCTAAGACGCATCCATACTTATTTGAGAAATACACAAGGTCAAGAGCGTCTTTACTTTACTTGACTCTTATCTTGACTTATCAATTATCGCAATTGAAAAACAGTTATTGGTACAATTAAAACGTTCACCAACATTTTACGCGGACGTAATCAAATCTTTCCTTAAGAAAGAGAGACGTTTCGATTTAAAATATAAATAATTTTTTTTTTAATTTTGTACATTGTTTGTAGTTAGTTCATGCTTTTCTTTTGTTCAAGTATTGTATTGTATGTAAATATCTTTTTCTTTCGCTCAAGTAAACCCAAACGGCTTTTTTCAAAGCCACCGAAGGTATGCAATTGCTGATATATAATACAAACTTTCTAGCAGTAGTATGCTTTTTGTGTGCTTTGTTAAACACGTCCTCGACAGCACTGAATATAAAACTGAAGAGTGAAGACAGATTAAGATTGTTGTATTTTTATAAAACTACTAAAAACAACAAAACCATATCTTGGCCTTGCCCTAGTTTGGAGCCCTAGCTTTGCCACTGGTACTAAACCTCACTTAACTTACTGTGAATAAAGTTCTCGACCGAGACGTACGTCTAAAATGTAAAAAGTACAACTGAACTAAAATCTTGATATGACGACGGCGTAGAAGACATGTCAAAACGAAAATACACTAAAAAAATCCCACACACGCTCCAACAGGAGAGGTCTCCTATCCACTAGCGTTATTAATTATTGATCTATGTCAATATTTTCTATCACTGCCGTTGCAAGAGCAGGATCCTCCCACGTCATTTTTATTCACCAATGCTTACCGCAACGTAAAAGCTTGTTTGAAAACGATTGGAGTTGAAGACTGAAAATTAGAAATTGGACTGGAATTTAGAAATGCTTCCAGTATTCGAATGATAGCGATAGATAGGGTAGCTTAGATCTTGCGGCTGTAGAGCTATAGATGTATTTTAGAATGAAAAATATTTATCAAAGCAAAAAAGTATACGACAAGTTTTTTTTTTTGAGAAGAGGAGGCAAACGACCATACGGCTCACCTGATGGTAACTATTGACCGCCGCCCATAAACAACTACAGCACTAGGGGAATTGCAAGTGCGGTACCGGCCTTTTAAAAAAGAGTAAGCTCGTTTCTTGAGGAAATTTAAGTCGTATCGGCCCGGAACAATCGCCGGTGGTAAAAAAATTCCACAAAATAGTCATGGAAATTCCTAATAAATCGCACAGTAGTGCACTTCCAAGCATCCGAACGATGTGAATGGTAACGTGAGTTTTGTTGCGATATGCGTTGGTGAAATTTGGCGGCTGAAAGTAATTTCTCAGAGCAAAATGATACATAATCTCTTCGTAGCACCAGTTAATCGAGCCGACCAGAGAGAACACGGTCGTCAACAAATCAAGCCGCTATGCGCTGGATACGGTTAAGTGGAAAGAGTTGGCACTGGGGAACCCCGGCCAAGAAATGAGAACAGTATTCCATATGAGGCCATACCTGCGCTTTGCCAGCGCCTGCGGTGTGTCAGCATGAAATATTGTCCCGCTCGCTGAGCACGCCAAGGTTTTTTAAGGCCAATTTAGCCTTCATCTTCAAGTAACCATGAAATTGTACATCACGTGATATGTCGACGCCAAGGATTCCGATGCTGGCTGAGGGAACAAGGGGAGTGCCCTAAAGCCGAGGAGGTATGACAAAGGGCTTCTTTTTAGCACGCTAAACACGCAAACTTGTGTCTCTTCTAGGGAATGAACTGCAATAGATATAGTCGCTCCCAATCCGAAACTTTGTTCATGAGCTTGTTCCAGTACTCTACTACGTGTTCCTGAGAAATATTGTCACCTCCGGTGTAAAAAGTATCACCAGTGCTTTCGCCTGCATAGCAATGAAGGTTACTGGCTTGCAACATATAATTGATATGCCGAAGAAACAGCGTAGGTAAGCCTTGTGGAACACCAGCATTCATAGGCTTGTAATCAAAGCATGCACCGTCTACTACGACCTTAAGGAGCATTAAGGTCGTAGTAGATGGTCCATGCTTTGATTACAAGCCTATGAATGCTGGTGTTCCACAATCAAGAAAACTGGTAATAAAATTCAAAATTTCTCAGGAAGCCCATAGGAAGGAAGCTTCGAAAGAAACGCTTTGTCTCAATCCCAATCGAAGGTCTTCGCAATGCCCAAACTAACACCCAGCCCCCCCCCCTCCCCCCTTTGGACACTACTGCCCGCGCCTATTTAGGAGTCAGGTACCAGAAGTTCACCAGCTGAGCGACCCCCAAGGAAACCGTAGTGGAGGTCACTAATCAGCTGGTGATCCTCAAGGTACTTCATGAGCTGACAGTTTATAATGTTTTCCATTATTTTACTGCGCACTGCGTGAATCGCACATCCAGCATGGAGCACTCGCACTGTGGGGTCTTGTGGATCAGTGGTGTATTCACCCTGTTATCGAGAATCGAGTTGGATGCCATCTGGTGGACTGTGTGTTCATGTGTCATTCTATCCTATAAAAAAAGCAAACCCACCCCCAAGGGTAGGATGTAAGAATAGACCGCATCCTGTCTAAATCGGCCGATCTATAGTAATACAGAGAGAAATATCTGAAGCAACAAGATAACCAGTTTGGTTTCAGGCCAGGTCATACCACAGAAGCTGCCATCTTGTGCTTAAAGCAGACTGTCAAGTCAAGTCAACTATACAGACCGACAAACACCCATCTATGCCTGTTTCCTCGATTTGTCGAAAGCATTTGATTTGGTTAGCTACGACATATTATGGCAGAAACTGGATAGTATCAAATGGCCTGCTGAATTAAATAATATATTTAAATATTGGTATTCAAACCAAGTTAATGTCGTACGATGGCCGAGTGCTTTTTCTGAGCCATACGGGTTAGAGTGCGGGGTGAGACAGGGGGGTTCGACCTCACCCAAACTCTTCAACTTGTATGTTAATGCAATGATAGAGGAGCTCAGCAGTAGCCGTATCGGCTGCCATAATGACAAAATATGTTTGAATAATATTAGCTACGCGGACGATATGGTGCTGCTGTACTCAGCAGCACCATATCGTCCCTCTACCTCTATCTCTAACCTCTATCTGTGGTCTAAGTACCTAAGTTGCTAGGCATCTGTGAGAAATATACTATTAGTAATGGACTAAAATACAATGTAAGCAAAAATGAATATATGATCTTTCAGGCCAGAAACAAAGGTTCACTTAGCGCTCCTCCTATTAAATTGAATGGAATCCCTCTGAAGACAGTAGAACATTTTAAATATCTTGGACATTTAGTAACCTCTGACCTGAGGGACAATTTAGATATTGATAGAGAGCGCAGGT